CATGCAAATAATACAAGAACAAATTTTTTACACAAGCACACACACACATACCCTTACAAAATCAACAATGTAAGCACTTTTGTCAATATATGTAAAATGAGGATAAATTAGTATTTGCAGAGTGCAACAAGAATGTACCTGTTCAAATGCAAATTGGGTTTAATGAAACCAATTTCCAGGTAAAAATAGTAGGATTATAGCCCTCTTCAACAAAACTAAATACTATAAATGTACAGTAGAACTGATGGTTTTTATAACTTTTCAGCAGTTTCTGAAACAGCCTAAAGCTTTTCTCCTATCTGCTCCACTTCTGACCACTGGCATATTAAATACAGTGTAAGCAAAATATCATAAAGGAAAACATAACTTATACCTTAGGCTGCATCTACCAGACCTTTTCCAAAGTCACTCACTTCAGCCCACTCACAAATCTCTGTTTTTCTTTATGTCATTTATCTATCAAGCAAATAGTAAAAAGCTATGATGCTGATGCAAAGGAAATGGACAACTCAAACTTGAAGATTGGAGGTAATTAGCCAATTTTATTAATATCAAAAAATATTATGCTTCCAGAAGGAAGACAAATTCTCCATCATGAGCATGTCCAGAAGAATCCCCCTAGATGGGAATAATAAAAGGAGTTTCTTGAGGATAGAACAAAGTTATAAGTCCAAATATTGTCTGTCTAGACAATATCTGATAAAGTAGATCACATCCTACTTCTTGTTAAGATACTACAATGTGGGATAGACAATACCACCACCAGATGGCTGACCAACTGCACCCAGCATATGAAGGGAAGTATGCAGTGGGGTAGCTCAAGATTCTCTCTTGGTCTCAGTGCTTTTCAACATCTTCATAAATTATCTAGTTGAGAAAATAGAAGGAGAACTCATCAAAATTGCAGACAACAAGCTGGGGCTAGCTCTTTGGAAGACAGACTCAAAATTCAGAAGGATCTTGACAGACTTGAACACTGGGTCCTTGAACAAGATGCAATTCAGTGGTGAGAAAAGTAAGGTCCTGCACTTAGGCAAGAAAATCAAATGCATAGGTGTAAAATAGGTGGCAATAGTAACTGTGAAAGGGATCTAAGTGTCCTAATCAATCACCACTCAATGTGCTGCAGCTGCCCAAAAGGCCAATATAGTCCTAAACTGCATCAACAGAGGAATAGCATCATGATCACAAGAAGTGATGGTACCACTTTATATTGCACTAGCGAGGCCACACTTGGAATACACACCACAATACAAAAAAGATACTGAGACTCTAGAACTGTGATGGCGAGCCTATGGCACGCGTGCCACAGGTGCCACACAGAGCCATTTGTGCCGGCATACAAGCTGCAGGCAAACTTACCTCACTGCGCATGTGCACACCTCCCAGCTGATTTTCGGCCTGTTTGAGGCCTTTTTTGGCCTCCCAGAGGCTTGAGGAAAGCCTTTGCAGGCCGAAAAATAGGCCCATTTCCGGAAATACCAGAAGTGATGAAACAGGCCCATTTTTCAGCCTGCAAAGGCTGCAGTTTTCCTCAACCCTCTGGGAGGCCAAAAAAGGCCTCAAACGGACCAAAAATCAGCCGAGAGGCACAGTGCAGGTAAGGGGGCGGCAGGGGATTGCGTGCGCATGTGCAGGGGGTGTGGGAGGTGCCCACATTGCAAGCGCGTGCACAATTTTTGGCACAGGAGCCCCAAAAGGTTAGCCACCACTGCTCTAGAAAGTGTGCAGACAAAAGCAACAAAGATGATAAAGAATATAGAGCAGGGGTCCATCAAAGTTGCTGGCTGGAGAATTCTGGAAATTGAAATCCACAAGTCTTAAAGTTGCCAAGTTTGGAGACCTCTGGTATAGAGGCTAAATCATATAATAAATGGTTGAGAGATTGGATAGCTATCTGTCCAGAATGGTATAAGCTATAAGGTGTCCTGCTTGTGCAGGAGTAGAAGACCTCCAAGGTCTTTGCACAACCACATATTGAATGAAATGAAGTAACTCTTCCTTGGTTAGTCAGATAAAACAAAAGTTATCCACTGCATTGTATTTAGATATGTTCTTCTAGAGTTTTTTCTTTTCTTTTTCAAATTAAAGACAGGAAGGGATTGAGGACTCCAATTCCCACTTATAATCCCTCAACACTTTCTTAAAAGACCAGGAATTGTTATTGTAATCTTCTTATCTGGGATTTAATAGTGACAATAGCAATGCATGGCATCTGGAAGGCAAACCACTCCATCCCTAACCATAAAAAGAATCTCCAATCTTGATTTACTGCAACTTTATTTAATTTATATTCTGCCTCTATTATTTTTATAAACAAGGCAGTGAAATTTGTGGGAGGATTTAACGAAGGAGATAGGACCAACGATTCCTATTCCAATCCTTAAAACTCCTCCAAAATTGGGAGAAGATAGGTCCCAAACTTCAATGCAGCCCAGTCCTGCCAGTGATATCACTGACTTTCTGCAGTCCACTAGAAGGTTTGGGGGAACTTGATTTGTCAAGGATATCCCATCCCTGAGTTACGGATCTATCTATTTAAAGCAGGGGTCTCCAACCTTGGCAACTTTAAAGACTTGTGGAGCTGGCTGAGGAATTCTGGGAGTTGGAGTCCACAAGTCTTAAAATTGCTAAGGTTGGAGACCCCTGATCTAAAGGACTCTTGATATAAAGTTGTCCAAACACCAATCTCCAGAGAAGGATCACTCTCTATGACCCCCTTTTATGAGGTTGGCAGGAACATGCCACCAGACTTGAAATTCTAGAACTAGAAAACCTTGAATTACACCGTCTTCTGTCTGATTTAAGCATGGTATATAAAATCATGCATTGCAATGTCCTACCTGTCAATGAATACTTCAGCTTCAACCATAACAATACAAGAGCAAACAATAGATACAAACTCAAGGTTAACCGCACCAAACTTGATTGCAGGAAATACGACTTCAGCAACAGAGTGGTCAATGTCTGGAATACTCTACTCTACCTGACTCTGTGGTTTCTTCCCCAAACCCCAAAAACTTTAACCTTAGACTGTCTACTATTGACCTCATCCCTTTCCTAAGAAGTCTCTAGGGGGGGGGGGTGCATAAGCGCACCAACATGCCTACCGTCCCTGTCCTATTGTTTCTTTTATTTTTCTTTTATTTTTCTTATATGTACCCATTTCATGTACTCATAACTATGTATACACTTGTTGAGACAAGTTTATAATGATTTAAAATATTTAGAGCCTAAGTAAGTATGTACTGTATGTATGTACTGGGGTTATATGCTCTTACAGAATACCAATTCTGGGCAGCTCACAAACTCAGTATTTGTAAATAGGAATAAAATATACAGGGCCTATAATAATTGTTGTGAGTAACATAGGGCAAATGAAGCTTAGCTCCCAAAACAAAATTACATCCATTTAGAATCTTTTTTTTCATTACAATTGTTGTCAAAACCAAAAGACTTTGTCCCCCCCTCTCCCACTCCACCCAGTTCTGGGTACATTTCTTATTGTATTTTAATTTAATTTTATTATTTTCATTAATTTCAATATTTTAATTAATTTAATTTTAATTTTATTTATTTGTTATTTGTTATTTTATTTATATCCCACCTTTATTTTTTGTACAAATAACTCAAGGCAGCAAACGTATCCAACACACCTTCCTCCTCTTTTCCCCCCCACAACAACTGTGAGGTGAATTGGGCTGAAAAAGTGTGACTGGCCTTTTTCTGGTCACCCAACAGGCTTTCCTGGTGAAGATGGAACTTAAAATCACTGTTTCTTTGCTTTTTTACCTTGGTGCCTTAACCATTAGACCAAACTGGCCTTTTAATGGGGGATCTTTATCCTTCATAGAATTACACTTTTCCATATGAGATTGACATCCAATATGGGGGGTGGGGTTCCTCCTGGATTCACAACTTCTGCTTAAAAAGCAGATAGTAGCTGTGGCCAAGATGATTTTTGTACAGGTACTTTTGGTGAGACAGTAGTTCTCCTTTTGTGACCAGGAAGCCCTTCATTCATGCCTTGGGTCACCTCATAATGAGACTACTGTAATATGCTCTACATGAAGCTGCATTGGAAGACAATGAAGGAGCTATAGTTGGTCCAGAATGCTTGGTGCATGAAGTGATGGGCATATGTTCATATATCCCTGCTATTTTGAGAACTGCATGGATTCAATTCAAACTGTTGGTTATCACCTATAAAGACCTTCATGGCATAGGGCCCAGCTATTTAAGGGACTGTGTATCTTTATATGTTTCAGCCCAGCTAGTGAGATCAACTGGAATGGGCACACTCCAGGTCCCATTGATTAAGCAATAAGCAGCATCTATAATAAACATTATAAGCAATAAGCAGCACCTTAAATTGCACTTGGAAGCTAACTGGTAACTAGCACAGCTCTCAGGCATGATATTAGCACCCTGAATGTATTCTGGGCAAAAAGGCAGATATTAAACAACAATAATGATAACATGCAGTAACCAGTCAATAGTTTAGTGAAATTAAAGTATAAAGAGATGTTCTTGTTGATAAAATTATTTTTTATATTCTGTCAGGACAAACATATCTTTCAGTAATATTGACAGTAGCAATTCCTTTAAAAATGAGGAAAATCTTACCTTATTTCATCCAGATGGCCTCTTTCTGTATAATAGCAATAGCACTTAGATTGAGCAGTGCTTTACAGCCTTCTCTAAGCAGTTTATAGAATCAGCATATTGCCCCCAACAATCTGGGTTCTCATTTTACCAACCTCGGAAGGATGGAAGGCTGTCAACCTTGAACTGGTGAGAATCGAACTGCTGGCAGTTGGCAGAATTAGCCTGCACTACTGCATTCTAACCACTGCACCACCACAGCTCTATAATAATATACTGTAAATTCATCCTTATATACAGGATCCTTATGTCAAATGAAGCAATGCTAAAGGACAGTGAATCAAGTGGTCTCTTCGTGTAGCTTGAGTATTCAGCAGAACAAACTAAATCAATACCTTAAGTTGAGTTACAGGGCTGGTCCCTCTCTTTTCATTTTTCATCCCAGTTGGTGAGAGCGTCCCTGTTGTATTTGGCGGCTGAGGCGTGGAAGGCATCTTGGTACCAGGCGATACTTGCATGCTGGCCAACTGAGCGGCATAGAGTTGCTGCAAAACAAGAACAGCTTTTCTCTTTTAGGAGCCCTGGAGCAGAGATTCCCAAATGGCAAGTGTTTTGTGTTCCTGGGGCATCACACATCTAATCAGCATGATGAAAGGTATGGATCCCTTCTGGATTAAGGGTCACAAGAAAAGAAACAAACAAACCCCTGGGTATCATGCCAACAATGCTTTGTTTTGTTTTTAATGCCATGCACTGTTTCTCTGACTTGACGAAAAATAACAATTACAGGTAGTCTCCAACTTACAACAATTTGTTTAGTGATCGTGGAATTGAAAAAAGTGAGGTATGACCATTTTTCACTTTTATGACCATTGCAGCATCCCCGTGGTCATGTGGTCAAAATTCAGATGCTTGGCAATTGACTCACATTTATGACAATTGCAGTGTCCCAGGGTCCTGAGATCAACTTTTGTGACCTTCTGACAAGCAAAGTCAATGGGGAAGCCAGATTCACTTAACAACTGTGGCAAGAAAGGTTGTAAAATGGGGCAAAACTCACTTAATACATAGCTCACTTAGCAACAGAAATTTTTGGCTCAATTGTGGGCATAAATCGCAGACTACCTGTACTGCTGTATCTGTCAGGAACTATACAAAGTTGCATATATCATCTTTTAGTTGCATATACAGTAAAGAAACTTAATACAATCCCTGCTCATTAAGTTAGTAAAACTAACTACAGAGTTTATATAAAAGGTCTTACACTCTTTACAGAACTGAACATTGTCAAAAGAAGCACAATTTTCTCATACATTCTTAAAATATTATGCACTGTATCTTGAGCAAAGCAAATGGTTAATTTTCTCTTTAACAACCAGCCTTAAAACCCTCACCTTAATGTAGCAATGGCAATAATTCTACCTTTATAAGCAGGGAAAGTCTATTCTTCTCTCACAAATAAATCTATATAATGTTTCCTCTTTAGTAAAAATGGTCGCTAGTATGTAATTTCCAACTTTACTATCATTTGAATGGACAAATAAAAAAATATAGCAATCCAAAGCAGACCTTTCAGCACATATAATTAAATGAAAGTTTAATAAAGAATAATCTGTAAAAGCCAGATGTGCTTATGTCACAGTGATTGGAGATTTGGGGAACAGTTCTTTAAACATTACAAATTTCTATAGAAACGAAAGTTACAGAACTAAGTACATCTACTCAATATTTCACTGGTACCATAAATGAATGAATGAATGAATGAATGAATGAATGTATGTATGTATGTATGTATGTGATCAAAGTAAATACTTTTTAGTACATAAGAAATGATGCTCTATTTGTTCCCCCATAGTGTTCTAACAACCAGCCTATAGAAATGCCAGTTCACTTCAAACTCCATGAAATCCGCCCAGATCTAGCAACACCACTCTGTCTAGTCTGCTCATTCTAAATTCCACTACTGCGTCACACAGACCCTACTCAGAGAGAATACAAAATTTAAGAATTTGCTATAATTAAAGATTTAGATGAATACTGTGGTTGTTGCTCCTCTGATCCCAGTCTTTTTCATGCACAGAAATTACATGCTCCGTGGTATATATATTTTTGCAGTACATGAACTAGTGTAGTCTTAGTATCATTCTTTATTAGTTTCATAGACAAGAATATTATTGATGAGCAATTGCAAAGTTCCTAGGTATATGATTTCACAGACAAGCTAAAATTGGATTACCATAATAGAAGAACACAATTCGGGGAAAATATGATGTTATAAGAGGGCATATATTTATATAGCTGGGTCTGTGCTTATTTGTTTACTTTAAAAAGTTGCACTTCTCGTTTCCTTATATAGTTTATATTGCTGTGATCCATCTACAGACACTCTTTACTTGGGAACAGAAAATTGAAGGGGTAGGCAATGTTTTCTCAGTTTACAACTTGTATTAGCAAAATGTGCCATGATTCAGATGTCACGTCCTGCCCTAAGAACCAGCCAGAATGTACCTAAACTGAAGGTTCAGTTTTCTCACTTTGTCTTCTTCAAGGCATATCTCAGATCTACTTGTGTCAGCTATGCTATGTGAGAGTCCAGAGACATACTTAATATGGATTAAGAAAAGAAAGTGCATGACCAAATGAACTTTTATACTTTGGGCAAATCTATTCAAGAATGTCAAAGCAAGGCACAGAGTCATTCTTAGTCCAAGAGCAATATTTTGCAGAGGCAATTTATCCTCAAATAAGGCAACATGCCGATCATCTCTCTAGAGACACGAGGCTAAAACAGAACCACGCAGAGCCTTCTATATCATTATTATCATTATGAAATTTGCTTCATATGACCTGGTTTTCAGGATCAGGAAATATATAATTGTTCAGTAGTTCAGAATTTCAAAACATTTTGTAGCCTTGTAAAGAGATATTCTTTTGTTGACTGAAAATAACCCTCATATCGGTATTTTGCATAATGGCTATATTCTGCTATGGGTGAAGAACCGTGATTATATTAGTCACTTGGCACTCGATCTAATTTCAGTGAGTAAAATAGTGATCAAGGTTCCACATGCATATTGACATTTGAAACTTCCACCAAAATATTTTCCATTGCAAGGTTAACTTCATAGGTCTTCGTAGCTCTTTTAAGCTACTACAAAGTCATCAATTTTATCACGGGTTAGTCATCTCTGAATGTCAGGAGTCACAACTATTGTTTTCAGAAGAATTGTTCATTTTTAATAGTTTTACCTTCTTCTACTTCATTTTTATTGTTCATAAAATAATAAGTTTCATGGTTGGTGCAATAATATTTTCAGAACTTCAAGTAAATAAAACCTGCTTTTGTTTTACATATGAGGCAAGCTCTGAACTATAAGTGATGATAGACACTGACTGAAGCATCTCTGCATACTAATCCAGAGGATTATCTATTATACTGAATCTATGTGAATGAATCTATATGTGTTTGTTTGTGTGTGTGTGTGTGTGTGTGTGTGTGTATGTGTTTGTCAAATGATTTAACTACAGGAGTGACATTTTATAAAGAAAATATAAATAAATTTGGAGATGCAATTTAACTGAATACTGAAATTAAATGTGGGGATTGTGTTTATTTATTGTTTGATTTTATACCCTAACTCTAACCCAACTCCAGGTAAATCTGGTAAGGTTCCTGTATACTAAATAAGTTAAAACAGTATAATAAGAACTACTACACAACAGCAACGAGACTAACTTAAAAAATTAGCAAAGGAACAAGACGGTCAACCTGGCAGACAACCTATAACATTCCATGAAAGGGACTCCAAGCAGCCCTTGGAGTCTGCATTACTATCACTATTAATCTTCTCATCGCTCCTTATCACCCATCCCCTCCCACTTGTGACTGTATGACTGTAACTTTGTCGCTTGTATCCTTACGATTTATATTGACTATTTCCTAGTATGATTTGATTGCTTATTGTACCCTATGTCTATTATTAAGTGCTGTACCTTATGATGCTTGACTCTTGGTGAATGGTTTTTTTTATGTACACTGAGAGCATATGCACCAAGACAAATTCCTTGTGTGTCCAATCACACTTGACCAATAAAGAAATCTATTCTATTCTATTCTATTCTATTCTATTCTATTCTATTCTATTCTATTCTATTCTATTCTATTCTATTCTATTTATGGCTTTCTGAAACATCAGCAGTACAAGAGACATCCAGGTCTCAGAAGCTACCTTGTTATAGGGGGCAGACAGTTCAATAAAGAAGACACACTCCATGGGTCTTGATAGACGACATTGTTTAATTGAAGGAATTGAAGGAACCCAACTGGGCAAATACCATGGGAGATAAATAATTAGGGCATATACTGTAGATCATAACCAGCACCTTGAGTCGAACATTTTAAAATTCAAAAACAAACTAAAACAATGGATAAACATTTTTAGGATTCAATAAAGATCTTTAAAAATGTTGTTTGTCATAGATGAATTGATGAACCATGGGAAGCTGCCATAGGGAATTAAGTTGCAATTTCTTGGACTACAGCTTCCTATTTTTACAATTATATCTGGGGTTTTAGTTCATTTTAATTTGCTTTCAGTGGCATCCATATGGGGAAGAGGGATCAGACTGATGAAAATACTGTACCGATGGGGGGGGGGGGAAACCCTCCTTTTCTATATGCATCATTACATCGTGCACGTGCCAAAGGGATCGAGCATGCAATATGATGCTAAAATGTTGTTTTTGTCATTCTGAGAAAAGGAAGAAGATCCTGCAGATCTGCTACTTACTTTCATTAATTATGAGTACACTAAACAAAAAACCCTTTGTGAAGTGAAGTAGCTATTTCAACCTCCCAAAAAGCTTGAGGTTCCAGAGAGCTTAATTACATTTTTTCTAGTGACCCTAAGCATCTCTTTCAATCCCGGTCGAAGAAATTTAGCATGGCATGAGTTTAAAAAAAAAAAAACTTCTTTGGATCCTTAACTATGGACAACCCCAGGAACATTTAATTCCATAAAATGTAAAGAGGTGACATGAGGGATAAAGTGTGTTCCCACAAATGGAGGTAATTTTAAAAGAAGCTAAAAACTCATCAGCAACTTAACTGTGTGACAATTCAGAGGCAACTACAAAACTGCTTCCAAGAGCTTGCCAAGGCAGCCAGATGCTCTTGTTAGAAAAATAGCTCTCTGCTTAGCATCTGGGATCTTTGAAAAAAAAAAAAAAGATAAATCCCACTCATCATTTGAAGATAGCAGATAGCATACATGGTTTGAAGATTACAGAAGTTTAAAAGTTATTAACTGGATTAAATCACATACTTTAAAAATTGTTCCAAGAGAAAGGAAACCTGAAATAACAGCCTTTAGGCATCTTTTCCATGTCTATTTTATGCATTTAACATCTCATTTGAACACATGTCACCCGTTACAGATTTTATATATATATGGGACAACACCCCCCACCAATGCACACACACTCATTAACACATGTTCAATTTAATTAGCTTTAGAAATCCAATCTGTAGGTTATTTAGTGAGCC